CCAACAAAAATTCCAGTGCTCCCTTACCTGTCTCTAGCCTGAACTGCTTTGGATCAGGCACATTACAGAAGTGGCATTTCTCTCCCAGTCAACAAAAAAGAGAAATATATCCATTCTGGATATATGTCCATGCTGGACATCTCTGCAGCAGCTGGTGCTGTTGATCACCTTCCTGAACTGCCTACCAGAAGACTTCAGGAGTGACCAGAAATGATCTGAAATGTTTCATGATATATGCCCTCTTCCAGACTGAAACTGGGGAGTTGTTTTAGCCAATTATTCTCCCACTCCTGGCCCACAAAATTCCTACTCTCCCCCATATCCTTCAGTACCTATATGAAACACAATTGGAGAGTTGATGAGACCACAGACTAAAGTGCTGGCACTATAGTAAAGGCATCTTGTTCTGTCCCCTGTATGTCAAATGAACACAGTATCACCTCTCAGTTTTCTCAGTACCCAGCCAAAATCATCACTTGGCTACAGAGCTGCTACCTAAGGCTGAACCCAAGCCAGATTTTGTAGATGATGATAAGAAGGAAGCACTCGGGAAAAACTTGTCTTCCTGCTAGCCTTCCCTGTTGCTGAAGACATCCAGCATCAGATCGCTGAAATGTTTGAGATTCAAATGTGCTCCTCATTTCTACTGGATGCCCAAATGACCATAACAGCAAAATAACCCAGACAATTCCAAGTGTGGCTGAGTAGAAAAATCCCACCCAGATCTACCATCAGTGATCACTTACAACATCCAGTCCACATATAAGAGTGATGCCACTTGCCCAATGAAAATCGTAGAAGATGAAAAGAAAACTGATCAACAACAAATGGAATTTGGAGTACAGCACACAATGCCCTTCTCTCTTCTCTCCATATGTCCCCTGATTATGGATTCCAGGGTAGCCTACAGATATTCAAAGACTTTCCCAAACTAAAACTGTCAATCAACTGAAGTTGGAGGGGGGATGGGTGATGTGGAGGCATAACGGCTTGTGAATCCCAGAATAATTTAGGACTTTACCCTATTCAGGATTAAATGCAAAGCTTATGTTTTGAATTTAGCTTTTCCTCAAAATTTGCCTCATGTACACTGCAGTAAAGGTAAGAAAAAAATCCTCTAAATTTGTCAAGACATTTGGCCTGAATGTGTGGTGGGCAAGAGAGATTTCTCTCTGTTTCCATTTTTAAATACATGGGAAGTTCTCATATATTTTGATGGTAAGTGTTCATAACTATGTAGGTTAGGTAAACAAAACATGGCATTTATATTTGGTTGTGTTTAAAAAATAAGTAGGCTGTGAGTTCTGATAGTGGGAGATCAAGGAAGCTGGACAATGCAAAATTCAAGAATTCAACATGGATAACAAGACCCTGAAATTGTGATTTTAAAACATGTCATGCCTGACTCCTTTTGCTCCCCTGTAAAGAGAAATGCAGACTTTTATCATTTAATAGCCTACTCTCCTTAGACCTCTAAACTTTATCATTGATTCTTTCATAATCAATTTTCTACTCTAAATTAGCAAAAAGATTTCAAGTAAAAACATGGAATCTAGACTAGGCATTCTAGAGGATTTGTTAATATGTGAAATTTAGTAACCAGTAAATCAGAAAAGTTTATATAACAACTCATTTTGATTGTGTTCCCACAGATTTCTTGGGTATGGATATTATACAAGGATTTTGCAAAAATATCCAAAGTCTTACAGTTTTCTGCCTAAAAATCTTCAATCAGAAATTCTTTTAAGTGATGTCATGCTCTTGAATTGGGTTTGTGATTTAGGCGATTTGTTATCAAAATCTTCCTGAGATTTATCAACAGATTCAGTAAGCTGCTCTAAGATGGTCATTCTAAGAGAAATAGCATCTACCTTAAACTTAAATGACTCTAATCCATCTTAAAGAAAATGAACTGCAGTGCATTTAAGGCCACATTCTCCTCTTACTCACACTGGCAAATGGGATATCTCCACTCAGCTTTATGGAATTGTCCTGGTCTGTACTGGTATAAGAGCAGAAAAGCAGATCAACACATTTTTCTTTGGTATTTCTCCCATTAACCGTTTGCCTCTTCCTGGAGGAAAAAAATGGATCAGTCTAATTCCTAGTTCAGGCAGCAGAAAATGTCCTATCAATATCTATGGGAGTGTGACAGGGTCTAAATTCATGTGGAAGACATAGGGTGAGAAACAGTTAATCTTAAATGCCAAAGTTGACAAGGATTTAGAACATCTTGGGAGAAACAAGGAAAGCTAGATTAAAAACAACCTCAAGTGGGCTATGCTAGGCCCAACCCAAAGTCACAGAAAATCCTAATAAGCAAAAGCTCTCCATCAGCATCACAGCAAGAATAAATTACAAATATATTCAATATAATGCATCTCCTTAGGCTGTGCTGAGCTAAGCCCATGACACCTCAACAAGTCAGAACAGAAAGAAAGAAAGCTCACAGCACAGTAAACCAAGAACAGTGCATTACCCAGAGACCCACAAGCAACACTAGAAAGAAGGCAAATGTGGGGAAGGATTATTCCCCACAGCACTGCTTCACAGCCTGTGGAATCATGCAGGGAGAGCCTCCTGGAGTCACAGCTGCAGCAGGGATTAATGTTTTTAAGGTAGCTTTGTTTGACTAATTGTTTTATATGTTACTTGCCATACACAGGAATACATATTTTTTAAATCAATCTGTGTTCTGTGGACCTTAAACAGACATTTAATAAAACTAATTTGGATGTGGAGAATTCTCTATACAATAGTATATAATGGATCTTGTCAGTCTCTAGGAAAGAGGACTTTATAATAAAAGCAACTCCAGATAGCTTTACTTGCACTGAACCCCACATTATATAGGGATTAATGAGAGTGTTGATTCAGTCAGACTTTATGGAGGTGTACAAATCTGTTTCCATAGATTCCTTTGCCAAATGGGAATTTAGCACAATAAAGGCATCTTGTTCTATACTAAAAAAAGAGCCAGATTCTGAGCTGATATAAACTGAAGCCACTCCACTGATTTCCATAGAGAGTCACTGATTTATGGTAACTGAAAACCTTACCCAAAATATTTAGAAGACATATTTCAGGGCACTCTCAGAAAACAATTTTGTCCTAGTTCTTCCAAAATTCTGAGCTTCAGTCCCATTTACTTTTGATTTGGTACATATAATTTTAAAGAATAAATTTGACTTTGCTTAGGAGAGTAACTCAAAATATAGGCTGCTGTGACAAAGGGATTAATTGTACTACCTCTCCCTTCAGCAGGATCAGGATTGGGTCCTAAGGGAGAGAATAATCTACCCTGTTGGTTCCAGTCTTGCTCACTGGGATTTCTACAATGTTGGGTTCATTGCTATGGTTCATTTCACAGGATGTTCATAAATGCTGAACTGATGCTTTCATGAATATCTGCCACTTATTATTCAAAATGAACTGAACTCTTTGTGTCACACTGGGGCTGTCCAATTTCTGAGTTGCCAGGAACCGTACCCTACACAAGCCGTACCATTGGAGGCTACACACCTTGCAACAGTGTGAGTCACTGGGCCCCATAGGCCATCCCTCCATGATCCCCCCTGCTGCACCATACAGACAGGTGGACGGGCCCAACACCACACTTGTACTGCACATGCAGGCAGGCATCCCCAACCACCCTCCCTGTTCAGCCTCTGTGCATAATCCCCTGCCTACTCCCCCAGTGCACCAGCCACAGGCTCCCCTACTACACCACATCACACGGTCATGCACTGGCCCCTGGGGCAGGCACAGAAAGAGAAAGCTGGAAGGGTAGCCTGGATCCCCTGCCTGCTGCTGTGCCGAGAGCAATAGGGGAAATGGTATCCACATGGGAGCAGAGAGGCTTCAGATTAACCTTCACTCTGCTGGCTGCCAGCTGAACAGTGCCATGTTACACAAAGGCCACACCCAAAACTCTGTGACTTTATTGACAGCTTTTTCATCAACAAATGGTGCAGCAGGATGGCAACTAATGAGATGGATTAAGGTGAAATAAACCTTGTCAAAGGGAAGACAGAGGGAAGGGCTTTACAGCTCACCAGTTGCTCCAAGGTAAATGCCCATATGCAGTTTCCTCATCCTAGAAAAACAGCACCTGACTCACAGTAGCTTGACCCCCGTTTAGTGAGGGCTATACCACTATGAGCTAGCTTTCATTTGCCTTGGGGGAAGAGTGTGCACATGGGCTAACACACTGCAAAGCCCCACCCCCCTTTATCCTGAAGTAACTCTTTCATGTGCCCATGCACACTCACCTATTGATGGCCATTCCCACATCAATAAGTCTTGTACAAAGGTGTAATGAGAGAAAGTCCCTGCTCCAAAGAGCTTAAAATATATATTTTATATGTATATTCCCCTCCCCCCTGCAATGTCTAAGCTACTTACAACATTTAATATATTTATCCTCCCAATAGCACTGTGAGACAGGGAAAAACTAATACAGCCACCTTACAGATGGGAAATTAAGGCTCAGAGAGGCTATATGACTTGAGAAATCACACAGGAATTCTGAAGCAAAGTAGGGTATTGAACCCAGGATATCCAACTGCCTTAACCACTTGAACACCCTCAGACACTTAAAGGGACAAAACAAAGGACTAGAAGTTCCCACTATAAACTTATAACAGGTCAGCATCATAGCCAGGATTCAGATGTCCTGACTTCCAATCCATTGCCTCATCTGACAACCTAGTGGTTCCCAAACTTTGTCCCATGAAACCATGATTAGTGTTCCACTGTTCCCCCTACATTTGTGCTTGTCAATTCAAAGGTAGATGATGAATGGGTCCCAGGAAATTTCTGACGGTAAACAGTTGTCTGTTAGTCTGGGAACCCTGTACTAAATCACATTGACCATGTACTGAGCTAGTATTATCCTAGTCTCATAACATTTCTGATAACTAACTCAAAATTAAGAGGTTGGATTTGCAGAATAAGTCTGCCAATCAAATGGAAAAAGCCATATAATAAGATAGACCTACCTGGACGAGATAGTGAGAACATAAGCTGAGGAGCTCCAGCAGCTGTAGGTGGCTCCCAGCTGCCAGTACATCCTGAATCACTCCCGGCTCCAGGAGAATCTAGCAGGAAAAGAATAAATAAGAGTTATTTTGGGATAGCATGAAAACTAAGGCAAGGCAACATCTTAGGGTTTTATCCTTTTAGAAACTGAAGTCAACGGGATTACTTCTACAAAGAAAATCAAGTATGCATATAAAGCTTTTCAGGATGGAGACCACAGTTTTAAAAACTTAACTACAATATCCAAGAAGAGTTTTAGATAACTAAACAGACTTGTAAAATTGGTTGGTAAACCCTACTGACTATATTGGTTACCACACGCCAACTTATTTAATAAAACACCTTTTGCAAAACTAAGTAGCACCAAAAAACACATAAAATATCAATACAATAAACAGGCACATTCCCTGAGGGAGGGTGTAAAAGTCTGGCTGTTCCTTCAAGAGAGAACAGTCAGCCCTGTTGAGAAAGCCCAGCTGCAGGGATTTGAATAGGCAAGGACTGAATAGGCAAGGATTTGAATAGGCAAGGACTGAATGTGTGGCAAGTTACACATCAGATGATAGGGGTTTACAGGGTTCTCCCATATCCCAAGGTGCACTGCTTTCCCATCCCCCCCAGTAGTTCCCAGAGGACCAACTTGGGCTGTCTAATGCAGTCCACAACTCCCACAGGGGTGGGTAAACTGGAGGTATGCTCACAGCTGCTGCCCTTGAATCCTCACTCCACTTCCTTGCAAGCCAGGTCTTTCCCTGCCCCTTGCAGAGTTGTGCAGTGGGTAGGGAAGCATTCTCCTCCCCTGCTCAATTCAGCCTGGAGAATCCAGGACAGGACAAGCTGCCCTGGGTCTTTTCCCATCCCTTGAAGAACTGTAGAGGGAGCAGGGGACATTCCCCCCTTCTACCAAGCTCAGGTTATGCAGGACAGGATGAGCCATGCCAGGTCTTTCCCTGTCCCTTGCACAGTTGTCCCCCAGGTGCCGTGGGGCCAAGTCGAAGGGACAACAGCAGGTTTTCAGCCCCCTGAACAACTGGGGCCCCCAGCTGGCAAATGCCAGCAGCACAAGCTTGCACATTGCATTTTTCCCCCGCTTTGGACAGCCTTCCCTTTGTATATAAAGCCACTTGCATCACGTGATGTCACCATTGTGCAGTTAAAACAACGTCCACCAGGTCTATGAGATACAGAATACAGAGCTGGATTGACTTGTATGGCATCTCTTGTGGTCTTTCTAAAGGCAATGGAAAATTTTTGAGAGAGCTTTTTAAAATTTTAGCAATGCATTGATGGAAATCAATACTTTGCTTGTATCTGAGGCAGCATACTTAAAGAGTTTTGTTGTTCTTGTTATTTTGTTTTACATGAAAGTTAATTGCGAAATGACATGGAAAAGCATATTATTGAAAAATCTACGCTGCGAAAGAAAATTCTTTTTTGAATTCAAATGATGAACGCTACCAAAATTATTTCTGTAGAGCCTTATTCTTACTAAGTATCACAAAACACTATACAATAAACTATGTACAATGGATTGCAGTGTAGCAAATCGCTATGTAATATACCGATTTTGTGCCTCCTTTGCAACTGATGTTTAACAGGAAATGTGAAATTTGCATTAAAAAACTTTTAAAAAAGGAGTGAATATGGAATTCAAAGAAAATTAACTGTAGTTAATATTTTATACACATAAAATACATCACTTACATAATAAACCAAGGTGAGTCGTAGTTGTAAATAAATATAGCCACTAGAACTGACTCAGCTGTGCTCCAGAATTAAATATCAATATATTTTGTTTTCATCTTTCTTTTTTTTTTAAAGCAAGGAGACAAGAAACATCTATTTCATTTCCTGTAAACCCCTTTTAGCATTGAAAACACAATAATCAAGAAGTACCCAACCAACAAATACCCTAGTAACTTTCCATCAACCCCAACACATTTAATCAAAATTTAAAAATCCCATCCCCTCCCACCCCCATCCCATCTGGTATCTGACATACATAGAATAAAAAGTGGGAGATCCTTTCAGGAATGCAACATAGCCAGGTGCCGGCTATTGGTCACTGGCATAGCACTGCCTTACAAAGTGTTCTAACCTCAGTATTAAATGCTCAGTATTGTCTCCATTTTACCATGGGGGGGAAGAGAGTCATTGAATAAAATGCTACCAAGGGCATGTCAAAAACAGACTTGGAAATCAAACCTGTTTATCCTGCTAGTTGCTTATGTGTAAATACTACTGATTTCAAATAAAGATGCAATTAAGAGGATAACTGGGGGCTCAGTACTGAGTCCACTAATGCTAGGGTGTGATCATGAAACCATTCTTAGTTGTTGCATACCAGATTCCTTTGTAAATCTCCTTTTCCAGGAATCTCATCATAAATGACAAAAACTGACATTAAATTAAAAAAGAATATTGCACTGGCTCGCAAAGAACTAAAGGTAGGTAAGAAGTATCCATTCCAATGTGTGCATTTAATGCAGTGCTTATACTTGTAACAAGGTCATCCTGGTCAACTATCAAAATGACATGTTTCTCTTTGCAGTTCTGTCCTTACACCACAAGGGGGCAGTCTCTTACTGCTATGCCTTCAGCTTCCTCTTTCTCCATTCAATCTAGTCTTTCTTGTAACCTTATCCATGGAACTTCACTGAAAACTAATGAGAAATAAAAAAGGAGGGGAGAGAGAGGAGGGGGACACCAGTGTCAGTATCCAGAGCCATCAAATCCCTTTGATGGTCACAGAAGAAAGCATCTAGCCTCAGCAGTAACAGGCAATTCTCAGCACCTCATATAATATATTAAAAACAGAAGAGAAAGGGCTTGATTCTTATTTACATAATGGCCACTTTACAGTGCTAGAGCAGTGGAAGAGGTCTGTAAAGTGCATGCAAATTGCCTGTAGACTCACTTTATTCTTAAACTGAAGAGAGAGGTAATTTACACACAATATAGTGGCTGCTTTGCTCTGCCAAATTGGAGTAAAAGGGCCTTAGTGCAAATGATAATCAGGTACGACATGTTCCAGGCTTTTAGTTGATGTTAATTAGATTTCCACACATGATGGTATGTGGTTCAAGGGAAAGCAGAAGAGAGCTCTGGTTATAAAAAAATCTTGCTGTTAGGTACATTAAAAAATTATGTTGTACAGCACTTGTCAAATGAAAGCTCAAGGTCAGCCCAACAAATCACTAATATTCTTTAGGGTCTTGTGGCATAGAATTAGAAATATTTATCATGCATACTGCTTTAAATTGAACAAGTTCTGATGTTGCATTACTTAGTAAATGTCATCCATGTGTGTGGTGTTGTAAAAGATGCAAAATAAAAAGAACCAGTGCCCTAAAAAGAAAATATATTTATGTTACCCTTGATGCACAAATATATTTGAATCCTCTAAGAATTCATTTTTACTGCATCATACACGTAGCACTTGTGGAAGTGGTTGGACAAAGGAAAAGAGAATGATTCGAATTTAAAGATAAAAGTGATCTACAAAAGCCTTACATTTATCAAAACAATGGAAAAGTCCTTCCCAATATTTTAATTAGCATAACTGATTTTGCACAGTTCTACCCAAAAAGTTTCTATCTGCTAATAAGTTTCATATACCATGTCATTTTCCAATGTGCTTTATACTGTAATAACATACCTACCACCAAAAAGCAGAGATAGTAAATAAAGTTAAGAAAAGTCTGGGTTTTTTATCAGCACTGCACCCTAAACAAACTGTTCTGTAGTCTTATTTTATATGTCTATGTGGATATATAAAATACAAAAAGGGAGCATCTACATGTGTCTATTAATACGCAGCAATAAGTTCCATATTACTGCTGTCAGGAGTGCATCTGCACATGCACCCAGGATCATAGCACACTAAGTCAGGGTGGCGTAGCTTCACCAGGCAGGGTGCTCTGTTGTCCTGTGGAGGGACTGGCTGGGGCATGAAGATACTTCAGCTAAGGGCTAGCCAATAGACAGAGCCTGCACTGAAGTGTCCGCATGCCCTAGCCAGCCCCTCCAGCATCTACATGTGTGTTGCCATGGAGTTTCTTACTCTACAGCAGGACACTACTTGTCTTTACTAGTACTATCCTGCTGTGAAGTAAATTAGTTTACTCCAGCCTAATAGGGGTGCACGTGTAAATGCTGAAACGTTTACTGCGTAACTAATCAGTCTACTGCACAGTAAATATCTTGTGTTGATGTGCCCAAAGACCTATGTTGCACATGATATCACTAGAACACTACCTGATGGGGCAATTCACAAAGGAATATAAGAAATTCAAAAGTGTGTTCATGTTCCTTGTAATTTTCAGGTGATAATGCAGCCCTGACAGTCCAGAAAATATGCAAGAGGCAAAATGTTTTGTGGTTGATATCTTTCATTGGACCAATTATATGGTTGGGAAGGATATAGACAAGCTTTTGTGCATCAAATATGCTTCCACAGGTTCTTTCATATTCCTTTTCACTTGGGACAATCAATATGAATATAAACCTATACATATAGTAAAAAAATCCCTCTTAATACTTCATTTGTAATCATCGTCTGGATATTGTTTTCCTGGTTGCTATATATGTTATTTAACCTAAAACATTATGATGGATCAGCTGGGCACATTGAGTTTTAAAATAGCACTATAAAACACACCCATGCACACTGGGTCCAGTTCTCCTCTGATTTACATTGCTGTAAAATGGCAACAACTCATCTGAAATTAGCAGAGCTACACAAACCCAAAACTTGTGAAAGGGGAAGTTTTTATCCATCATACTCAGAAGATCCACTGCAAACTACAAGGCTGAAAGCATTAGAAAAAAATCTCACGGAAGTTTGATGCCTAGTTAAACAGACCAGGACAGAACCTCTGCTGATGTCAGTTGGGAGAATTTCCACTGCTGTCACTGAAATGTTACTCATTTACACCAGCTAAGAATTGGCCTTCGTATGACATATATACCACTGTAAGATTAAATTAGTGTACTAATTTACGTTTCAGCTATTTGAAAAGTGTAGGGTCATGCAGTTAGTCTGGAAGCAACAGAGGAT